GCACGACAAAAACCCGCACCTAGATGCACCACCACACACCTGGTCCACAACGTACACTGACCAGGATTTCGCACCAAGAAAAAAAGGGCGGCTCGAATTCCACTGGGTGAGAGTGCCACAGAGTCTCCAGTCTCCATTCTCTTTGTTGGTAATATCATAATGCTAAAGGCTAAGTTAGGGAGCTCTTACAGTCTGACACTCAGTACACTAGCTGGCCATTCCACACAAGCACACACCAGGCAGACGTCAAGGTCCGAGTTGGAAACCTTCCAAGCCAGCGATTTTCACGCACCGCATCAGATTGTTTATAGGGAGGAAATTGGCCTGAGACTGTCGCCGGGCACCAATCCACCGGCCGAGCCGGTCAGAAGTCTGATTCGGGAAGCGGGTGGAGTGACTGGTAAAGCTAAAGAACTCGTCTGCAGGTGTGACGTGCACAGCCAAGCACTCCAAACACACACACACCAGGGTTACACACAAAGAGGCTAGGTGGCTCAGATGTGTAGGATTTCAATTAGAAAGAACCATCGAAGTACGATTCTCAGTTAACCAGTCGGCCACTCAACACGCAGGCACACAACTGGGCTGACTGTATGTCCTGAGTTGAAGAGTCAGCTGGCAACATTTGAAGCCAATGTTTTTAGCACACCGAGGTAGTCTCCCCGTCTCAGATTGCTAATAACGAGGAATTTTTCGTCGAAAGACGGCCTCACTCACTCTACTCTATCGCGTGCACAGGTAGACTTCCCAAACCGGTCAACCAACTAACTCTCAGGTTGGGAGCGATGGCTGACAGTGCTAAAGACACCTCATCTGCGTATGCCACACACGCGACCTTAACCTTTACATATATACCAGGATTTAAGACACAGGGATATAGACCGCTCGGTTCTCACACGAAGAAGAGGAGCCGCGTGGAGAAAAGAGCCGAAGACCACACTTCTCACTTATGTGAGAAGTGCCGTTCATGTGTAGCACATGTGTTAATGGGGGGACGTGTGATGTGATCTTACCTGCGGTGTTTTACCGCATGTCTACATGGAGGCACACGTTAACGAATAGGCTCATGCGATGGCTGAAGGTGTGATGTCAACGCGGACAATTGTGACGATGGCGTCTGGCGTATGTCAGTGCTCCAGCATCTGGTTCGCACTTGAGCGAACACGCTGATGTGTGAGATGGACGTGCGGTGACAAAGTGGGCAGGATAGGTTGGGGGATGTTCCCCTTATTGTCGCTGTAATGCCGCTAGTGGTGGGCAAGTTGGTCGACAGGGCCTTGATTGGGCTGGGGATAGTAGGATTAGCAGATACGACAAATATGCTAGATTTGTCGATATTGCGGCGAATCCCAATTTTGTGGATACGCATGTAACCGATGGTGGTGCACCAACCGCCACCCCACTCAGTAACAGCCCCCAACGCGTCGCCGCAAATCAGCGTGAACGGAACCCAACTGCAAGTGGTGGAGAACTTCCCACCTGGGCAGTACTCTCTCCCGCAACACCAAGATCGACGACGAAGTCGCCAACAGGATCTCGAAAGCCAGTCAAGCCTTCGGTCGCCTCCAAAGCACAGTTTGGAATCGTCACGGACGTCAACTGAGCACGAAGCTGAAGATGTACAAGGCCGTCATCCTGCCGACGCTACTGTATGGAGCGGAGACTTGGACGGTGTACACAAAGCAGGCACGCCGACTGAACCACTTCCACCTCAGTTGTCTTCGTCGCATCCTGAGGCTAAAGTGGCAGGATCGAATCCCCGACACTGATGTGCTGGAACGGACGGGAATCCTCAGCATCTATGCCATACTGACACAAATGCACCTGCGCTGGAGCGGCCACCTGGTGCGCATGGACGACGAGCGACTACCCAAACGACTCTTCTACGGAGACGTCGAGACGGGTTCTCGCCGTCAAGGAGGCCGAATTCGCCGTTACAAGGATACCCTGAAGTCAGCCCTGAAGCGCCTGCAAATCAACACGGCCAACTGGGAAGAGCTCGCACTCGATCGACCGACCTGGAGGAGGACAGTGAAGACAGGCGCTGCGATCTACGAAGCCAATCGCATCACTGTGGCCAAAGCGAAACGCGAAGCCCGCAAATCCCAACTTCGCCCAGTACGCAACGCCACCGCACAACCGCTTACAACGTGTCCTCGATGTCAACGGACATTCCGGGCTCGAATCGGACTTGTTGGAAACCTTCGGATCAACTGCGCCTCTCGAAATACACCAAAAAATCGTCCCCCCGCCCGCCTCTTCCTCCCCTCCGCCGCCAACTAACTTTGACAATTCTTCTGAAC